AGGTTACCTCGCCCGCGGCTGGAGCGATAACCTTTCTCAGGTTACCACTCCAGCCACGCGCGCGAAATTACGTTTCACCCGAACACGGGGACCAAATGGAGACGACAATGATGATGATGCTGATGATGCTGCTGATGATGATGATGATGATACTGATGATACTGATGATGACAATGACAATGGTCATGATGATGATGAGGATGATGATGGTGCTGATGTCGATGGCGATGCTGAGGATCATCATCATGACGACGACGATGATGATGAGGGGGAGGAGGAGGAGGAGGAGGAGGAGGAGGAAAAGGAGGAGGAAGAGGAAAAGGAGGAGGAAGAGGAGGAGGACGAGGAGGAGGGAGGAGGACGAGGAGGAGGAGGAGGAGGAGGAGGAGAAGGAGGGGGTGGAGGAGGAGGAGCAGGCAGGATGGGGGGGCATGGGCAAGAGGCAAGACGAGCAGATTGAGGCAGTAGAGAAAGGCATGATGAGCAGGCAGGAGGAAGAAGCAGGATGATGAGTCGTCAGGAAGAGTATGATGAGGAAACCAGAGGATGCGGGCGAGGAGGATGCGGGGGAGGACGACGATGAGAAGGCGATAGTAGGATGGTGATAGTGAGGTATGATGGTGACGCATGTAGATGATGATGACCAGGACGAAGAGAGGGAGAAAGAGGAGGAGGAGGAGGAGGAGGAGGACGACGACAACGACGAAGGTGTCTGAGGTGTCCGGGGTGTCCGGGGTGTCCGGGGAACGTGTCCGGGGTGTCCGGGGTGTCCGGGGTGTCCGGGGGACGTGTCCGGGATGTCCGGGGTGTCCAAGAGACGTGTCCGGGGAACGTGTCCGAAGTGTCCGGGGTGTCCGGGGGACGTGTCTGGGGGACGTGTCCGGGGGACGTGTCTGGGAGACGTGTCCGGGGTGTCCGGGGTGTCCGGGGACGTGTCTGGGGTGTCCGGGGTGTCCGGCGGACGTGTCCGTGGACCTGTGGGGGACTCCAATGCACATTTGCGCCCCCAAGACAGCCCCAAGAGGGGCCCAAGCAGGGCACCACAAACCGAAAATTCTATATGTGTGCCCCGAGGCCCCCAGAGACCGCCAAGAGGCTCCAAGAGGTGCCAGGAGCGCCCAAAGACCTCCCTGAGGCCCAAAAGATACCCCACAAGGCCCCAAGAGGCCCCCGAGAAGCGCCCAAACGGCCCCCAAGAGGCCCCCGAGAGGCTCCCCACGACACCCCAACACATATACAAAAGACCTCAGACCCACAACCCAGGCACGGTAGGGGGATGAGCCGAAAACCACTAGGATACCGCCAACGTCTCGATATGCGTTGATGATTCCTATCCGCTCCCGCATGATGTTCCCGAATGCGCCAAGGCAGGGCCGAGACGCACCGACACGACTCTCGTATATCTCATTATGATAGAGAGGGGGCAGGCGGCAGGGCGCGGAGCCCTTACGGATGCATATGTATATACATATATACATACACACATACATACACACATACATACACGTGTATATCTACATACATACATACATACATACATACATACATACATACATACATACATACATACATACATACATACATACATACATACATACATACATACATATATACATACATGTATGCATGCATGCATGCATGCATGCATGCATGCATGCATACATACATACATACATACATACATACGTATATATATAAATATATATACCTACATACATACATACATACATACATACATACATGCATGCATGCATACATACATACATACATGCATACATACATACATACATGCATACATGTAAGCATACATACATGCCGACATGCATACATGCATACATGCATACCTGCATACATGCATGCATGCATACATGCACACATGCATACATGCATACATGCATACATGCATGCACACATAGATACATGCATGCATGCATACATGCATACATTGCATGCATGCATGCATGCATACATACATACAGGCAGACAGACCGACATACATACATACATACATGCATGCGTGCATACGTACACGCACACATACATGTACAGGCATACATACATACATACAGACATGCATACATGCATGCATGCATGCATGCATGCATGCATGCATACTCACATACATACATACATGCATACATACATACACAAGCATGCATACATGCATACACACAGTCGTATATACACACATACACACTTACATGCATACATACATACATACATACATACATACATACATACATGCATGCATGCATGCATGCATGCATGCATGCATGCATGCATGCATGCACGCATACAGACAGACAGACAGACAGACATACAGACAGACAGACAGACAGACAGACAAACAGACAGACAGACACATACACGCCATCGTGACGCTGGGCACGGAGTGGGCGTGTCCTCCGGTATTGTGCCCAATCCCGAAGAGCCTCAGTCCTCACTCCTGAAGTGTCTGGTAGGGGCCCGGAGCCCAAATTGCCAAATCTTCCGGGCCTGGCGCGTGCCCCCCAGGGTTCCCGGCGTCTTGTCGCATTATTCCAGGCCCCAGAAAGCCCCAAGACACGCCACGAGGGCTTCGAGAAGCTCCCAAGACGGTCCAAGATGGCCATGGGACATCGAAATACCGCCCCAAGACGCCCAAGATGGGCCCAAGATCGCCGAAAAGGCCGCCAAGACGCTTCAAGAGGCCTCGAGGAGGCTTCCCAGGAGGGGCTCAAGAATCCAGAATCGTTGATATCCCATTGGTTCTTAGAGGAGTTTAGCGTTGTCGTCTGTTTCGCTTCCCGGCGCTCCAAGACGGCACAAGAGGCCCCCACGAGCGCCCCCTGATGGCCCAAGAGGCCTCCAAGACCGCCCCATGACAATGCGGCCCAACAGGCGCCCAAGACGGCCCCAGGAGCCCCCGAGACGGCCACAAGAGGGGCCCAAGAAAGGGACCACTAAAATAAAAATCTAGCTTTCCGCCCGAAGAAGCCCCCAGAAGGCCCCAAGAGTCTCCGAACAGGCTCTCACAGGCCCCCAAGAGTTCCCCAAGAGGCCCCGAATCTGCCAAGAGGCTAAACTGATGCCCCAAGAGGCCTCCAAACGGTCCCCAAAAAGCCTCAAAACTGCCTCCCAGAGGCCCCCAAGAGGCCCACCACGAGATCCCAGCGAACATCCAATAAGCTTCTTGCCCACAACCCAGGCACGGTGGCGGGATGGACCGAAGGTCATTAGACCTGCTCGGCACTGGGACGGAAAGCGGAATTTTAGCGAATATGCTAAACATGTACATTTTCCAATGGGGCTGGGACGCTTTTTGCCAAAACTAATAGCAATAATGGGGCCATATTAGGCCGCCTTGGGGCTCTTGGGGGGTCTCCTGGGCCGTCATGTGGCGATCTTGGGGGCCTCTTGGCCCGTCTTGGACGCACCGAAGACCGAACAAAAATTGAAGGGCATCTGCGCTCCCTCACGCGAATTGTGGTCCACTCTGACTTTTTCGTTGCGTCCGTTGCGATGCCGACTCTGGACTTCCGCACAGTGGGGATCCGCTCTGGTGTATTTTTGGGCGGGTGTCAGGCAACGGCAACAGTACGGCGGTGCGGCTACCTGAAAGGGCGCGTGCTCAAACGCGCGCGTGCGCAACGACGGCAAAGGAGCGGCTGGGACATGAAAGTTTTCATTCACCACGGGCATGGCAGGAGCACTGGCGACATGGTATGGCGCGGCCTGGCGAGAGAGGCAGCGGCAGCAGCTGAGAGTCGCAGTCGTGGGCTTAGCTGCAACTGGAATGTCGTGAGCATGCACGCTCGCGCATCGAGCTTGCATGCTCGTGCGCGCGCGTGTGAGGCGACGCCTGCGCGCAGAGAGCTCATGACGCCGCGCGCCGTAGGTCTGGCGCGATCAGAACACGACGTCCAGCAATGCGTTGCACAGCCAAAAAGCACTCAACTGAGCCGTCTCGTTCCTCAGCATGGAACGTCGGATCAATCCTTCCAGAGATGCGTCGACGGTCTCCATGTTCACCTGGGCCATGTTTGCTGCGGCAAAGCGGCCCGCGATTCGCGACGAGTCTGGCCGCAGCGTCCTCCCAGCTGTCAGGACGTGTAGACACACGCCAGCGGAGACGTGTAGGAGCTGTCAGGAGGATGCTGTCATTCAATCAGCATCATCATCGTCGTCGTCAACGTCATCAGCAGCATCATCATCACCACCACAACCAACTACACGACCATCATCAGCATCATCATCATCATCCTCATCATCATACTCATCCTCATCAGTAGCAGCATCATCAACATCATCATCATTGTCATCATGAGCCTCATCATTATCATCGTCACCACCATCATCACCATCATCATCATAATCATCATCGTCACCCTCATCATCATCATCATCATCATCATCATCATCATCATCATCATCATCATCATCATCATCGTCATCATCATCGTCGTCATCATCATCGTCGTCATAATCAGATTCGTCATCGTCATCATCATCAGCATCATCGTCGTCGACCGAATCTTCATCATCATCACCACCTCCATCACCACATCACCATCATACTCATCAGCATCATCAGCATCATCATCAGCAGCATCATCATCGTCACTATGTTCATCAGTATCTGATTCATCACCATCATCATCATCATCATCATCATCATCATCGTCATCATCAGCATCAGCATCAGCATCAGAGACATCATCATGATCCTCATCATCATGATCAAAATCATCATCAGCATCAGCATTAGCAGCATCATCGTCATCATCATCATCATCAGCATCATCATCATCATCATCATCATCATCATCATCATCATCATCATCATCAGCATCACGCCCCCTGAATTTCGGATCACGACTCGGCTCTCCAGCGGCCGTTCGGGCCGATCCGGGCAGCCCCCCGGAACGCCCTCGACGAGTCGCAGCTGCTGGAAAACGCTCGAAAACTTCCGGAAACCTCCCAAAACGCTGTTCCTCATCCAACGGGGCGGCAGCGCCCGCCGTACTGCACGATGCCGCTGGGGATCAGCACCAGCGCGTGTGCGGCAGGGACGCCGAGCAGCCCCAGCCCCGCGCCGACCTGCACCCTCCCCCGCGGGCCTCGCTCGCGCCCACGCGAGGATAGAGAGCTCCCAGAGTCGGCAGCACGCCCAGAGAGAGAGCAGAAGGCCCAGACCCCCTCGAATCGTAAGAAAATCGATGAAGGTTTTCGGCCATTTTCGGCCTCCAGGGGCCACAGGACCCCAGGACCGTCAAAAAACGGCTGGGGACGAAAGACTGGTCCCAGGGAGAGTGTCCAGACCTCCAGGGGTCCACGTCGTGAAAAAAATCACGACGTCGGAGGTCTGGGGGGGGATGGCAGAGGGGGCGGGTCTCCCCAGAATGCTCAGAAGGCCTCCGGCCTGCTGGAAAGCTTCTGAGACTTCTCCGAAGCCACAGAGAGCTTCTCAGAAGACTGGAAGGCTTCTAAGGCCTGCCCCCATCTCACCTCCCCCCCTCGGCGAGCCTCTGAGAAAAACCCAATATCCTCGAATCTCGACCCTCGAGCGCGGCCCACCCGACCCACTCCGTGACGAGCCCCTTGCGTGCCGAGCCCCCAACTTCGAGGCTCCCCTACGGCTGCCTGCCCACGTCTTGAAGCGAGGCGGGGGGGTCGTCACTGGAGGCAACTGGGCAACTGCGCCCGCACTCGTGCACGGGGAAGCCCGCGGAACACCTTCACAGGCGAGTCAGGAGGGATGAGGGGAACGATAGGGGCAACCAGCTCAGGTGGGGGAAACACCAAATTGAAATAAGCGGTACATCGGCGATAGATCGGCGATAGGCCCCCAATAGCGAGTCCGCACGTTCCCGCGCGCAGTGGGCTATCACGCCCCTATCGGCGGTGAGTGAGCATTGGGGGGTCGATGCATTCCCTCATGAGTCTATTCCACCCCCATCGTTGTCCCTGAAGGGAGGCCTAGGACCAGCAGCGAGCGAGGATCGGATATCATAGGGAAGGCGGGCGGGGACATCAGCAGCCTCCCCTCGATCTCCACCGTCCATACGTTCCGCACGGCAGTTGCCGCGCCGCAGCAGCCGCCTGGCCGCGCCGCCGGCTGCACTTTCCCGCGCGGCAGGTGCGGAAGATGGAGATCGGGGTCATCGCGACGCCGCCGTGGCGGTCTCTGAGGTGGCAAGGAGGGGTGGATGGCCAAGTGGAGGGCACTGCACGCGTTCGCCATGGAGCCTCGTCGAAGATACGTGCATAAGGGCGATCGGAGCCCCCAGATTCGAAATGCCCCCGCGCCCTTGCTGCAGCCGCCGATCGTCGTCACCGCCGCCGCCGGCGTCGCCGCCACCGCCGCCGTCTCCGCCGTCTCCGCCGAGCGGACCGCCGTGAAGCGCCCCTGGAGCAGGCGTGCGGACAGCCAGAGGAGCGACGCGAGCCCAGGCGGCAGCGACGGGGCCGGGCCTGCGGGTGGGGAAGGGGGGCTCCTGTAGGCGGGCGCACGACCCGAAGGAGAGCTGTGGCAACCCAGGGGGAGAGAGGCCCCGCCCCCCATCTTGGTTCTGCCTTGGGCCCTCCCGCGGGAGGAGAGTGGGAAGACAGAAAGAAGCGCAGGGCGGGGATCATTCCGTCTGGGCGTCCACGCCAGATGATCCTCCTCACTCTGAAGCAGGGGCAAGAGGGAACGGAGGATGTCACGAGGGGGGCGCGTCAGAGTAGGACGACAGTGTTGGGAGCATCGTCCTCCCTCTTCTTCGTCCTCCTCCTCCTCCTCCTCGACACCCTCCCTCTTCCAACTCATCATCATCATCATCATCATCATCATCATCATCATCATCATCATCATCATCATCATCATCATCATCATCATCATCATCATCATCATCATCATCATCATCATCATCATCATCATCATCATCATCATCATCATCATCATCAGCATCATCATCATCATCATCAGCATCATCATCATCATCATCATCATCATCATCATCATCATCATCATCATCATCATCATCACCATCACATCATCATCATCATCATCATCATCATCAGCAGCAGCATCATCATCAGAAGCATCATCATCAGCATCATCATCGTCATCATCAGCAGCATCATCAGCGCTATCATCATCGTCATCATCAGCAGCATCATCAGCATCATCACCACCACCATCATCATCAGCATCAGCCTCAGTATCAGCATCCTCATCATCATCAGCATCATCTGCATCAGCATCATGATCATCATCATCATCATCATCATCATCATCATCATCATCATCATCATCATCGTCGTCAGCATCATCATCATCATCATCATCATCATCATCATCATCATCATCATCATCATCATCATCATCATCGTCATCGTCATCGTCATCGTCATCATCGTCATCATCATCATCAGCAGCAGCAGCATTACCTCTCGTTTCTCCCTCCTCCCTCCTTTTCCTCCTCCTCCTCCTCCTCCTCCTCCTCCTCCTCCTCCTCCTCCTCCTCCTAGGGGGTCAGGGTCAAGGGTCCCCACCCCCAGCAGGGCCGCCCGCGCTGTGCGCGCGATAGGCCCCTGCGCTGCGGCCTGGCGCCGCCGCCCCCCCGCGCCCTGGGTCGCTCCTGGCGGGCGGCACGCCAGCGCGCGGAGGCACGTCTACGGGCAGCAGGCCGCGTTCGGGATCCCCCGCGTGGCATCGCCGATTGTGGAGGGTTCGCGGCTCAGCACGTCACCTACTCAGATTGGAAGCTGCCCATCCGTTGCTCGAACATCACCACGGCTCCTCATCGCCTATGGGCAAGAAGAAACACGATGCTGTGCAGGTGGAGCCCAGGTGGGCATGTCTGGCCAGCCGTCAGTGTGGGTATAGTCACAGGTTTGCGAGCAACGCTCTTTGCTTGAGATGCGGGCGAGATCGAGCTGGGAAGCCTGACCCTGCCAACCCACCATCCGACAAGCAGCCAGCTCGGTCTCTAATAGGTAGGCGGTCCAGCAGACCGCTTCGCGCAGGCAGCGCCCGACCAGAGCGTGCCGCCGCCGACGAGCCTGCAGACGAGCCGCCCACTGCTTCAGATGCGGTTTCTCGCTCCCGCAAGGTTTTGCCCGCCCTGCGGAGGCTCGGTCTCGACGACAACAGCGGCTTGGTGATTGCTGCCAAGAAAGAGCCGCAAGATGCCGAGGAAGCCAAGAGAGCGTCCCGCACACCAGATGACCAATTACAACGATCGTTGGACAGACAGCGACAGAACTCTACTGAGGTCAGCGTGCTCACGGAGGCCCACAGATTGCTGCAGTCGCAACTGAACACAAAGCTGACGGAGCTGGCCAATTACGACGATCGTTGGACAGACAGCGACAGAAGTCTACTGAGGTCAGTGTGCTCACGGAGGCCCACAGATTGCTGCAGTCGCAACTGGACACAAAGCTGACGGAGCTGGCTCAAGCGCAGAGTGAGCTCACGATCATCGATGCGGAAGTCCATGCCGCCCGTGCTGCTGCCCTTGCCACGGCGGCCGCCCCGACTCCAGGAGATGATCAGGCTGTTGCAGTGGCTATGGAGAGACTGGGGCAGATCGTCAGTGCGGCTCCATCAGTCACAGCGGGCAATGAGGCCACCTACGCTAGCTCGCTCAAGCGGCAGTTCAACGAGGCGCTTTCCTTGGTGGCTATACAGCGGGCCCCCAACACAGCCTTCGCCCCAGCAGCAGCAACACCACCAACAGCACCGCCTACACCCACGGCATGGGACGCAGCGATCCCGCCTGAGACCGCGATGGCGACCAGCGACCAGGGTGAGCACTCACGTCGGCCTCCCCCACAGCTCGCGCTGCTGAGCCCTGGCAGCACCAGCTACTTCGTCGCCGCCATCGACATGCCGCGGCAGGCTCCGAATGGCGACATCTTACCACTTGGCGCGCACATCGCGGTGGAACATCACCGCGACGACGAGGCCGTGGGCGACAACGCTACAGCGCAGGCAGTTTTGGACACCTGTACTGGCGATGTCCGCGCAGGGCGTCGTGGCCATCAGCCGCTGGCTCAATATCCCAACTACGACCTTCAGGGGCCTCCCGAGGTTGCGGTCGAGGCGCACCAGGCAGCTCAGGCAGTTTTGTGTGATGACATCGGTGGCGACCATGCCTGCCACTTTCAGCCTGATGCTACGATGATTGGCGCCCCCCATCCATGCAGCGGAAGATTCAGATCCTGAATGGGACCCAGACAGCTTTCAGCAGCATCTGTGGATACGCCAGTCACTGGGTTGGTGATGTTGTCGCCTGGGACGACATGACGGGCTATGAAGATTGGCTTTGGTGGTGTCAACTGCTGAGCTGTGTATCATGGAGGACCCCCAACTACGCCGCCTCGCCTCCACGCCAGAGCAGGTCCGAGAGCTTGCGAAACGCCCGTGCCGCCATAGCTTCTTCGATGCGGAGGAGGACATACGGAGGCTCAACCTGCGCTATCAGGACATTTACAAGGAGGACCGTGCGAGGTGGCACCAGCTTCTGACTTTACGTCTCAGCGCAGTTCGCAATGTTCAGCTCTCACTGGCTGCTCAGCAAGCGGACAAGGCATATGTGGATCTCTTGGACGCTGAGGCGACTGGTCAACTCGCATCTTCCACTGCCAGGATTGTTGCGCGACGGGACCTGGTCACTTCAGACGACACACCTCGGCCTGAAGCTCCAAGGCCTCCGCCGGAGGATCACGGTGATGATCCGATGGATGACGACATCAACCTGATGCAGGTACTCAAGTCTGCGCTGCCATCAGAACATGGAGTTGAACGTCATCGCAGGCTCCAGCTCCCCCCGCCACGCACTACTAGATCGAGAAATAACGAGGACGGTTCGAAGTGGGAGGGACGTCTGCGGGATTGGCGGACGGTGATGCTCCCCAGGTCAGCCGACTTTGAACTCTTGGATGCTGAGCTGGTTTCAGGCTGGAAATGGTATTCTTACCTATCTGGGGCGGCCCCTGCCAGCAGCTCGGAAGGCAACCGTGCGTCCTGGGAATCCCCCATCCCGTCGCCGGGCGTCGGTGCCAAGTCTGCGCAAGGACCAGATGTGTCCGCACCTTGCGAGCCAGCCAGCGGTCGGCCTCAGAAGGACGTAGATGCGGCATGTAACCTGGCGGCTAGCAGGGAGGTGTACGTCGCCGATTTTGCTGGGCGCACTGTGCCACGGAAATCCCCCACCCCGTCGTTGGACGTCGGTGCCAAGTCTGCGCAGGGACCAAACGGGTCCGCACCTTGCGAGTTAGCCAGCTGTCGGCCTCGCAAGGGCGCATATGCGGCATGTAACCTGACGGCTAACAGGGAGGTTGACGTCGCCGATTTTGTTGGACACGCTGGCAGTGACGTCGCCTCGTCCGCGGGCCCTCGGCGCTCTCGCCGTGCTCCACGCAGAAGTCATGGGCTCACTTTTGCCCCCTTCAACAGTTCAGGCTGGCCACAGATGCCGGATTTCCTACAGCAAAGTCGAGCGTCTGTGGTCACTGGCCAAGAGCTGCACTTATTTGGTGGCCAGCGTATACTTGCTGAAGAGTGGTGTCGTAAGCGGGAATGGCAGGCCTTCATCAGTGATGCTACGCAGACTACACACCAGAGGCCTACTGGAGGAGTTGGTATCTTCAGTCGCTCACACATCAGCGCAGTGCCTTTGACCGCCATCGCGAAGTCACACGTCATTATGCCAGGTCATTTGGTGTGCATGCAGGTACAGACGAGCCTACGCGGCGGGCTCATTGCGGGATCTGTATATCTCGAGAAAGGCATGCGCCTCGGAGGAAGCAACACCGCCCTGCTGGCTCGTCTTGGCGAATGCCTCAGGTTTTTCTCCTCGCCGTTCTCGATCTCTGGAGATTGGAATGTTCACCCTGATGCGCTTCGTGCTTCAGAATTCCCGTTGCCGTTGAAGGCGGACCGGGCGAAGCCCACTCAAGGTACCTACAGGGACACTGGCACAGGCAACACGTCTACATTGGATTTCTGGCTTGCCAGTGATTTTCTTGCAGCTCAGATGTCCACTCCTGATCGAGTTCCAAGATTTCCCCCTCGCCAGCACTACCCACTTCAGGCCACGTTGGGGGCGCGTCCGAGGGCTCAGCGAGTAAGACTGCTGAAGGGACCTCACGTCTTCCCGAGGCAGTCAAGACGCCGAAGATCGGGGTGGAGAACCATTGCATGACCAGCGGGGAGACTCAGGAGTTGGCTGGACAGACACCATGCAGGAGGACTCGGCTAAAGGTTTTGGAGGTCCAGGCGAGCGCCTGGAGCGACTCAACTCACTGGCATCCGCTCTGTACATTGGGGTTGAGAATGAGCTGTGCCCAACCTTCCAGCTCGAAAAGCCTGAGTCTGCAAATCGCGGGCGCAGTGAGGGCCCGCAGTAGCGTCATTCAACCGCGGGGGGGGCCTTGGCACGGCAGCAACCAGCGGGCGCGACACAATCCAGGGCACTTCGTACTCTTCAGGTTCGCATTCTGGACCTTCAGAGGCGCTGCCAGCACGCATCGCCTGACGAACACGCGCAGGCTTGGGCGCGCATGGTCGACTTCATTGGGAAGGGGGCCTGATCGAAAGCTTCGTAAACACATTGCGCGGCATGTTCTGGATGATGTTGTGCACTTTCTGGTATGTATCACTGCTCAGCCCCCTCACATGCACCCGCGCATGCCGCTGCGTCTTGGCACCCTTCTCGGGAAGCAGGCTGAAGCTATCGAGAACAAGTTAGCCCAGCAGCGCGCAAAGTCGTTCCGCGCTTGGGTACGCACGTCTCCGGCACGATCGCCTGGCGCAGTGCACCGATGGACGAAGCCGAAGGGGTGACAACTCTCGTATGTGGATACCCCTAGTGGCCCCTCAAGCCTCCCCATGGACATTGTGGGCCCCCATCGGAAGTTCTGGGCCAAGGTTTGGGGCGACCTTGACGAGGCCCCTGGGTGCGTCTCGGGGACCCAGGCGACGCCAGACGACAACCTCCTGGGGGACCTGCAGGACCTTCTGGGAAGAGGGCCTAGATATCCACCTGTGCTGATATCAAACCTTCGCATGGGCTGCCCTGAGGTTTCCATCAAGCACTGCAGTTGTGTCGGACAGGTTCAGACCGCGTCGCTGGGCCCTCGTCTCCAACGGCGGCCTCTCGCTCCTAGGCTACATCATACATCTATGTGAGTCTTGGGGCATCTGACCCACATTGTTCTCCTAGCCAAACCCACTGGTGGGCACCGTCCCATTGCCCTACTTAATTCGGTATACCGGTTGCGGGGCAAGGCCAGGCTCGACTGGATACGGCCTGGGGCATCAAGTCTGGGGAGGCCGTATTTGGCGCTGGGGGCACAGAAGTCTATCACCGACGTGGCTGCGCGACGTCTAGTACAGGCTGAAGCCGCGCCTATTCAGAATGCAGACAGCCACACCAAAGTACAAGCAATTGTGGACATCGAGAAGTGTTTTGATCGAGTGCCCTGGAGGCGACTGATAGGCGTGGCTGTCGCGCATCATTTCCCAGGTCGCCTGCTTGTCCTCGCCGCGAGGATGTGCATGGGCGCTCGACATGTCTCGTGGGAAGGCTGTCTCTCGCACCCAGTATGGGCGACCAGAGGCGTTCTGCCAGGCTGTCCGATGGCGCTGGTTGGCACTGCAGCTCATCATGCTCTCCCCCTTCGACTCCCTCTTTAAACACACTACATGGATCTCGAAGACGATTGATTTGTACGCCGACGATGTCACGATTGCGATCATGGGGACGGCCATAATGATCATTGCGGCGGCCGTTAAGATTTTGCCTATGTTGGTGGATGTTTTGACAAGGGTGGATCTCAACCCTGCCACCCACAAAATGACGATCACATCGAGTAATCCCAAGATCGGTCGAGTCGCACAGGGCAGGGTGGAACATCTCGGCTATCGATATGCCATGGCTTTAGAGGTCCTGGGAATAGAACTCGCGGCAGGGCGACCGCTTCGATTTCGTAGAAAACTTCGGGATCGCATTCGAGCCACTAAGAGACGACTTCCTCGCATCTCCACTCTTCGGAAGGCTGGGGCCGTGGTCTCACGGCATGCCCGACAGGCGTTGCCGTCGGCCATGCAGCACGGAGTTGGAGTGCGTGGCGCCCCGCTCTCGTTGGTGCGTCAGATGCGGAGCGCCATGGGAAGCACGCGGTACACCCCTGGGGCCTCCACATCACAATGGATGGGGATCGTCACGAGGAGGAGGGTGTATATCGACCGCTGCTTCGGGCTCTCAGTTATGCGGAAGCGGCTTTGCTACGTACTTTTGTGAGTGGTGGTTTCTGGCCCCCGTCTCGGCTGCATTTGAACGGCCACGCCCGCACCTCCGAATGCCCACATTGTGAAGAGGACCAATGCAACAGCTACCACATCTCCTGGGACTGCAACGGCAGGGCACACCAGCGACATCAGGCATTAGGCGGCGCGTCGACATGCGTGGGTCCCCAGCAGTCTCGGCGGGGTCTTGGCTCTGGGCGAGAGGTCTAGCTCCGAGATCGCGTTTCCCCCCGCTACCGAGGCGGGACGACTCGTATCGATGGCACGCGCAGTATGGCTCTCTCGACATGGTCACGGGAAAAACCTCCATGGACGGTGCATGCCAGAAAGCGTGGTTCTGGCAAGAAGCTACGAGAGCGGGTTGGGGGCTTGCCAAGTTGCAGGACGGGCCAGGTGGCATTGAAGTACTGGTCTACGGTGCTCTCCCTGGGCCCTCTCAGAGCTCACCGCGTGCTGAAATATATGCATTGCTTCAAGTACTAAGTGTATGTACCCCACCCCATTCACGTCCATGCGGACTTCTTGGGGATCATAGATGGGCTTGCTGCAGGCCCTGCTTTTACACGTGGGCCTTGCAGCCCCAATACAGATGCATGGACCTCCATCTGGGCCAAGATTGGGGATCTCGGGGGCCTTGGAGAGGCCATACAGGTCACGCACGTTCGGGGGCACCAATCGGGGGACTCGTTTGAGGCTCGAAGCAACCGCTGGGCTGATCAGGCCGCGCGGCAAAGTCAGGACCTTCACGCGCCTGAAAGCTCAGCTAAGCGAGCGATGCGTGCTGCCTTGAGATCAGTCCGACGTGTGCTGCGCTGGCTTGTGACTGCGCACCTGCACCATGTTGGGCCTGGCCGGATCCAAACCGAGCCTCGCCCTAGCAAGAGGGCTAGATTGACGCGAGTACCGTCCCCCGATGCGCCGATAGACTCGAACCTGCGTCACGTAATGATTAAGCCCCAGGAAAATCTATGGCATCTGCGGAATGGCGGAGCCCCTGGATTCCTTTTCTTGAGCCAAACGGTTTCGGTAACCATAATCTCAGCTCGAAGCCTGTGAAACCCTGCAGCCCTCCCCGAGGCCGCTGCGCACGCTGGCGGGCCCGTCAGCCCACCATCTCAAATTACATCAGTAATTAACAGTGCTGGCCGAAACCCGTTCGGTTCCGACTCATGTAAAGAAACAGCCATGGCAAGGGAAACCTTCATTCACGTGATATCGGCCTCTATATCGTTCTCTCTCTCTCGCGCGTTACGACCTCGGGAGGAGATCGATCTCCGTCGTGTATCTTCTGAACAAGCCAGCATAGCTCAACCCAGACGGTATCTCGTACTGGTTGTCCAGGGTGCGTGCATTCACTGAAACCAAGCTCCCCACTCTCGAGTGCCCAACGGCGCATGCCGACCGTCAGCCTCATAATGTAGCTTGCTCCTGCTCTTGTAGATCACTGGCCCTTGGACTTCAACTGACCTCATCTTCTTGAACTGCACCTCTGTCTCGGGCGAAGCGTCTCTCCTGCGTCGCCTCGACGGTGATCGTTCATATGACCCTGGCCTCGGGTTCTGAAGGTTTCACCTCGGGCCCTCTTCAGCTCGTACATGTCGAAATGGCGTGGACCACAACCCAGAGTCACCTTGTGTCTCTAAAGATTGACCCACAACCCTGTCCTGCTTCGCCTTCACCACGAACACGTAGTAACTGAAAACCACTGCCACAATCGTAACCACCAAGTGTGTAACGAAACTCCACCAGTTAAACTCGCTCTTCATGTTCACATTGATTCTGAAACCATCCTCGCAGTAGTAATCGCCTGTCGCCTCTGCCCCCGAAATGGCCGCCATCACCGCCAAAACCTTCGTGAGCACTTCTGGGTCTTTGAAACTCGTCGCTTTGATTGAGATCAAACCCAGCGTCTTCATGTGTCTCCTGAGCGCGTCCTTGCCCATCGGTTTCGTTCCTATGTCTGCCACTTGGTCCTTCATATTGACCTTCACCACCTCCATGCCTCCGTCTCGCACCAGATCTTGATGCCAGATTCACCTCGTCTGTAGATGTCGTACTCGTCCGACTCCGTGTCTGTGGCTCATGCCCTTCGCCGCTGCTGAGTCCGTCTCCAACTCCAGAGTGATCTTGACCCCCTCGTTCCTCATCTGCGCCATCTCCTGCAACACGTGCTTGATGGTGAGACCTCGGGTTGTGCCCGAACCCATCGCGTAGAACTCCGACCCCCCACTTGAGAGCGCCACCGTCGCCTGAGATAGTACCCAGCTCTCCAGTAGATGGGCCCCTAATCGAACTCCACCTGATGAAATACTCTTGCACGTCGCCTCCTGTCCTGCCCAGTCCGCGTCCACCGACACCGCCACGTTGAACGTCTCCTGCTGATACGGGTAGAATATCACGATGTCGGCCGTGCCCTTCAGATACCTGACCAGACGCTTCTGCTTGAGTATGTGCCTCACCCGCGGGTCATTGCACGAACAACTCTGCTCTCGAACTGCTTCCTGAATATCCCAACGATCCCCAGCCATAGACTGTGCGATGCCACCGCAACTCCTGTACAACATAGAGCTCCGTCGCCCTACTGGGTCTTCAGCTCCCCAAACTCCCTTGGCGGTGTGCTTCGAACTCGGTGTCTCTGCGGGCTTGGCCTGCTTCAGCCCGTACAACTCCACCATCTTCAAGATCAACTTCGGGTCTGGTAGAATGCCGAAGCCCTCCTCGCCCCAGAGCACCGTCCTGTTGAGAAACGTACCTTCAGCTGCTCCTCATGGTCCCACTCTCGGTTGAGGCTTGACCTTGAACCTATTGGCCAGGAGCTTATCGAACTCATCCAGCTCCTCGTCGTACGCCTCCACCACAAAGTCATCTCCGTGACCAGCACAGAGCGAGTCCTTGCCAGGATGGTAGTACAGGCAGCACACCGTCTTCAACTCCTCGTACCCGTTCTGTCTGAAGATATCTCGAACTTCTCCTTGAAATAACATCGACGCCTCTGGCGTCCCATACATCGCCTTCTGCAACTTCCAAAGCATCCCTGGTCGTCGCTGTTCAGGTGGTGTCCAGCAGTACTGGGGCTCCTTCAGCGACGCGTGAAAGAACGCCACTGAGATGACATATAGACCAAGCTTCTTCCTCCTCGACTCGGTCGTCCTCGTTGAAGCTGCTCTCGAAATCACCAGCTTAACTGCCCATAGCGCGGGTGTCCCTGCGAAATTCGAGGGGTCGGTCCCGTCGCTATACCTTCTGTGAACACATCGGCTCCTCACGATCCACTCGTTGTCCTGGAAGTCGCACTTCTTGCTGTCGATCCACTTGGTGTCGAACGGCTTCATCCAGTCCTCAAGTGGTACCCACTCAAAGACCTCAAACTCCTCCATGCTCTTCATCTCATTCGTCCTGCCGTTGATGACCAGCTCCTTCAACAACTCCTCGCCTGCGTACGCGTCCCTGTAGGCTCCGTCACCCACCAGTTTGTCGTAGTTCACCCTCGGCTCCAACTCCTCGCAGACGTGGCGGCCCTCCTCCCTCGTGATCGACATGATGACGCCTGTCTCCGTCGCCTCTTCCCGTCCTGGCGTAGTAGGTGCCACATCTCCTCCTGCTACGATCGCGTTACCCGTCATCTCCGCGTCCTGCTCGATCTGCAGCTCCTGTCCGAAGTGATGACCAACCGGTGTACCTGGAGCTCGCTGACCTGCTTCTCCAAGTCGTGGTTCTGCTACTCTAGCATTTTCTGGGGGTGTTTGTGCTGCTGGAACTGCCGCTGGTGCTGCTGCAGGTTGCGCTTGTCCTGGTTGATCTCCTGATGCCATCTCGATCCTCGGCTCGGCCTCCTCGAAGATCTTGGCGAACCTCGTCCTGCACCTCGCGTTGTGTATTGATGAGTTCCCTTCGCATGCTGCACACCCATCTGTAGGTCCATACTCCTCGATCAGCGCCTTCGTGATGTACTTCCGTCTCCTGACCACCTCATTCTGATCCTTCACCTCCAAGCCCCTGGGATTCCACTGCACTCCTATGAACGTGTTGTAGACCTCTTTGTTGTACTTGTCCCCCGTGGCCCTGAGCTTCATCGTCCTGGCGTGCTCGATCCCTCTCGACGTACCTACGATGATCTCGTCGCTCTCGTCGCGCCTGCCCAAGAAGATACCCTCGCCCCACCTAGGTTCCAGCTTGGAGTAGTCCTTAGCCTGTATCTTGTAGTCGATCGTCTCTCCGATCTCCCCGAGCTCTGACTTGAACTTCGCACGTCCCAGTCGTTCCCAAGCTGTCCTGCCATCCGTCTTGATAGCGAACCTGGTGAGCAAGTACCCCACGTGCCTAACCAACCACGGCATGATCAAACTCTTGGGTCCGATCTTCACATCCAACTTCACTTCCAGCTCGCTGCGTAGTGTACGCAGTAACGACTCCACTCTCTCCACCGCATTCTCAATCGCACCGTTGCTCTGATGAGAACCTTCGGGAGCCTTCTCCACCTGCGTGCTGTGCTTCCCCCTGTTCTTCAACGCCGTGATCACCGCTTGTAGCGATGGCTCCTGGTCGCCATTCAGGATGATATCCGCTGCCCCCCAAACGTCCAAGTAGAACTCCACCGCTGAGTTGACGTACTCGCTGGGTCCCTTGTGGATAACCATGATGGAAGCAACTGCATCCTCAGGCTTCTGCACCATCACCAGGATGTTGACCATCTCCGTCTCCAGCTCGGTGTTCACGAAGCAGTAGTCCATGTTAATGACTGGAATCGTCGGCGTCTCCTCTGGGCTGGCCTTCTCGCGACCATCTTCCTTGCCTCGGCCCCAAAGACACCACTTGCACCAGTCCCGATACGGCATGTGAGTCTTCTCGTGGATGGCTATCTCCTCCGCTGTGGGCTTGCACCTCTCCTCGTGACCTTCGGCAGTCGCGCCTCGTCTGTCTCGATCTCTTCCTCCTGCTCCGCCGGCTGCTGAGCTTGTTCAGGTTCATCACTCTCTAGGGGGCATAGCGTGCTCGCGTCCACGCCGAAGCTGTAGACCCCACGCCTCTTCGAGATCATCAGTGGTCTGTTCCTCTGATTGTTCACGTGTTCGTACTCGATTATCTCCTTGATCCGCTGGCTGATCTTCGGATTGCCCACTGCTCCACCGCCTTCGTCGAACCATACACCTTGAGCTCCCTTCGCCAGGTCGCTCACCGCAATGATCGTCTTGTGAACGTCTCGCACATCGAACTGTCCTCGAATTGGCTGTCGAGCCCCAGCCACCTGCATGTGTAACGTCTTGCAGCCGTTCGAGTTGATCTTAGTACCATCTGCCTGTCGTAATGGTGGTGCGCCCGCTTCTTCTCGCGGCATTCTTGGTGCGAAACCAGGTGGGCAAACACTCCGCGCCGCACATGAATCGACCATCACCTCGATCTTACCGTCGCTGTCATTCTCGAACTCTATTGGAATCAGGTAGCTCTCGTCATTCTCGTTGAACTTGTGATTGGGCTCCTCCTTGCTCTCTAGATTCACAGTGCATCCGTCTACCTCCGTGTGGTCTACACTCGAAATGCGATCTAGCTCCTCAGTCTCGTTCTCCTTCAGCATGAAGATGTAGCCCTCCTCGGCGTCGTAATCGTACCCTAAGTACTTCATGTCTTGATGATTGGGCTTGTCGGGCGCAGGTGTGCTCTTCGCCTTGTCGTTTTTTGTCCTTACCCTCGCCCTTGCCCTTGCTGATCTTTCGCAAGTCATCCTTCGTAGTCTTTCCGTCCTTCATGTCCTGTGTGGCCTTCCTGCACTCCATGAGCTTGTGACCTTTCTTGCCGCAGTACTTGCAAGGCTGCGTCGCGCTCTGGTCGTAGCCCTTGCCCTTGTTCCTATCTTTGCCGTGCCTGCCCTTCGAGTCCTTGCCGAACTTGCCGAATGTGAGCGCATCCAGATACACAGGCACAGGCCCACTTAGTGCCATCGCCGCCTGCTTCGACCTCAAGTAGTTCAACACCTCAGCTCGTACCAACGCGTATGCCGTGAACCTCGTAGCGTTCAGCATGAGATGTTCTCGAAG